AAAGATCATTTGTTAATTGTTTCTCTTCTTTTCTTTATAATTCTCTTTTTTATTCTTTTTTTTTTCTTATTCATTAATTTAACATTCTTGATTGAAATGCTGAATTTACTATTCAAAGTATTTTGAGCAAATGATTGATGTTTGTGATGAGCTTATGATAGATTTGCGGATATGTGAGCTTGTGAAATACATGACAATACAAGTAACTTTTACTTGAATGCAGTGTACGTTTTTGTATGTGCAACGTACGAGTTAGACAATTCACTCTGTGCGCCCAACATTTTTTCTCTACATAGTTAAGCATATATTTCACCAACGAGTATAAATACGAACTAAACGAGTCGATCATTAGAGGTAAGACAAATGAAAAACGACACCTTCATTTCACGCGCGTGCGCGCGTATTTTCAGCGTCAAAGCCCGCGAATAGCGCAAAAATGATTTATGTAACTATTATGTAAGCGACAACGCGCGCCCAACGGCGGTTCCATTCGTGATTTTCGTCCCGTTGTGTTTTTTCCGTTCGTCGAAGCGATTACGACGATCACATGCGGAAAGTGTGCGCGACGTAATTTCCCGCCGAATCCCAAAGGTGATTAACGACGAGCGAGCGAGCGAGCGAACGTGATCGCTTGAGACGCGCTTATCTAGTATATTTCGCAATTGCGATAACACTTAAAATCGAAAGCGCTCGATACAGACGCGAAATCACACGTAGATATTAACCTTTGCGCTGCCAAGTCCCAAAATGTCTAATCATCAATCATTACAACCGGACATTGAGCAAAACCTTGAAAAATCGCTTGTGAAATATAAAGTTCATTTATATAAAATAAAGTTTATTTATGTGAAATAAACTTTTAACTTACAAATTTCTTAGTATTTTTTTTCAGTGGATGTGCTTGATTATCAACTAAAGAGTGTTTAACCCTTGACTAGCCAAGAAAGGAAGGATATTTGTTTTATTTGTTTTATTTGAAATTTATTTCTATCCTAACCTAAATAACTTTTATATCTCACAATAGATTTTCAAGTATTTCAAAATGTACACTGAGAAAAAATTTTTTTTTTATTTGACAAGTATTAATAATATATTTACCTAAATCTAAATTCTTTTATTGAAATAGAATAAATAAAATAGAATAAACGATTGCTTTTATGATAAATAACGGTTTCAAGAGAGTACACTGAAAAAGAAATACTTGAAAATTTTTTATATTAGATAAGTTTATTTCATAGAAATAAACTTTATTTCATTAAAATAAACTTTATTTCTTCACAGAAATAAACTTTATACTCCATAAACAAATTTTTATGTATTTTTTTCTTAATGTATATTTTATCACCTAAAAGCAATCTTAATATATATTTTATCACCTAAAAGAAACGTTTTCTCAATGTAAAAATATGTATATGAGCACAAGTAAATATGTTATTTAGCCGTTATTAATCACACATTGAATAAATAAATATTTTTTAAATATTTTTCTTTCAATATACTTCTCGTTCGTTTCACCGTCGATGCCCGATTTGCACGTTCTGCACATTTCTGAGTCTATATGAATATATTCGCAAAATTACAGAAATAATTTGGAATAATGCAGTTTACATAGATGGCAGTAATTTCTCTCTTGATTTCTTACATTTAATATACATTTACATACAGCCGTCTCATAACAAGCGGTTCGTTTTGTGTTTCTAGCAGAACAGAATTTATGAGTCTGGGAGTAACGCGAGCGAGCACTCACGCGATAAAGGAAGCCAAACAGAATAGAGATTTCGATACGAATGCAATATTGCACATCGATAACATCGCAGCTTTTTAGTGTAATGTCGAAAGAATCTAACCACAATGCGTAACGATAATAAAACGCTTATTCTCGTTTGACAAGCACGAAAAGAACCTTCATCGAGAAGACACATACAATAAGCTTAGTTATGGCTTAACTTTAACATATGTTTATCTGCATTTAAATACTACTAAATGATATATGAAATACGCTTTTTTTTGCAATGTTTTAGCTTCCGCGGTGCACTTGTTTAACAACACAATAAAGAAACATCGAGGACGTGCCACGAAGGGGAAATTCACTCGAGCGACGCTGTCGATTTCGGTCACAAAAGGATCACTTCTTCCACACTCGACGCAAGGAAAAAAAGAAACGAAGAAAAATCGCGGAAGTGAGAGAAAGAGCGGTGGAATGAGACCGAAAGAATCGCTGATGATCTTCGAGAAACTAGTCGTTATTATTTGCAAGTGGCGCGTCCGGCCGGCCATTAAGTTCGGCAATAAAGTCGGCTACACACCTCTTTGCTGTGCAAGAGCTCCTCGTCGGGGCAGTTGTGATGCACGGGAAGTGACTACTAGACGAACGTAGCCTGTACTGACCTCCGTAGTGGCGGCTACGCGACGTCAATCATTGCCCCGGCGCAAGAATTCAATTCTTATCAGCCGCGCGCGATACGCGCGGCCGAAACGCTCGAGGAAATACGTATGTATGTGTGCGCACACGTATTTCTCGCGCGATTATAATCAGAACGGCTATTCGCGAGAAGTGCGACCCGCGGCTTCTTCGCTTCGCTGTGTTTTCCTCGTCGTTTCTTCGTTTCTTTTCGTCTCGCCTCACTTCTTCTTTATTCCTTCTCGTTAACTCTGATGGGAAGGACGTGATTGACGCTCTTGCGAAACGTGATAGACCTTTCCTCGCCTGATGACAGCGCAATGATTGCGGATAATGGTCGTGGAAATGGTCGCATGATTTGCAGCATGAAACGCGACGAGAGGACGGGGAGCGAACACACAGCATCGTCGCATCCGGATCCATATGTCTTGCAAAACTTCGAGAATGTACACAGAAAGAATTTTATACATTCCTTTCCACACACTAAGAGAAAAATTATCTAGAAAATAAGACGTACTCTCATTCGGTAGGTACTAATATTTGCCTAAATCTGAATTCTTTTATTTAAATACGACAAACAGTTGCTTTAATGAAAAGTTAAGGTTTGAAGAAAATGTATATTTTTATTTAAAAAATAAATTTTTTCATTTGAAAAATGAACTAAAGTAAGTAAGCGTGTTATTACTACCTACCGAATAAGTATTTTTTATTCCTTAGACGTTTCTTCTTTTAGTGCATATACATTATTTTCAATTTTAATGTGTATACATTATTTTCAATTTTAATTTTCTATCAGCAAATGTTTAGAGTTCGTCTTGTTAAGGAAAATAGTAAATGTCAGGGGTTTATCTTGTTGATCTTTTAACAGTAGACTTTAGACTTTCTAAGACATGAATAACATATTTGAAACAGAAAAATAATATGTCGAGACCGAATGCCGATATGCTCCTCTGTTGCAAAGTTCTTTGATAATTTTTTTGATAATTTTTGATAATTTTTGCTGATAAAATTCTCTCTGTATAAAGATAAAATCGCTTGTATAATATCACTTCTAGGTATATCTTTGGAAAATGTGCGTCGCGCTTCTTAAAGAACATCCTGCATATTTGACACGTAAGTCATGATGATTTACAGGAAATCATTCTTGATGAACAAATGATGCTTTCATCATCTGAAACGTTAATTTATGTTAATCTATGTTATTGTATTATTAGAGAGTCATCAAATTTGCCTAAAAGCTTCAGTACTTTATTCTCATTTGATTTTTTTCCAGAACTTGGTTTCTTTCCAGACGACGTAGTTACCATCGATTTGTACGTCATTTCGCGTGATAATGATGCTTCTAGAATATCATTACGGATTATTACTTTGCAGTGAATATAGTTTTTCCGCCTGCTTGTCGCGTGATTCATAGGTGATTATCGTTCTCTAGAATAGGAAAGCCAACAGCTGATAAGTAACAGATAATTTTTAGTGCGATTTAATTTTTGCAAAGTTCAAAGATACTCCAACGGTATTCGCTGATAAATATGAATGAAATATATAAACGCATTTTCCTAGCCGGGAAGTGCATTTGCGGTTTCGTTCAAACGACACTTATGTTAAATGACACATATGTTAAACGATATTTTACACACAGTGTCCATTTGGCGATTGACCTTGAATCGCTCATTTTATCACAACATTTCCGATATTTTCCTGCAGATAAGTATAGAAGTATATACATATACATACACAAGCAGTAATTGGCAATTGTGACGTTATAAGGTTTTGTGTTTATTATATTGTTCGTTTAATTGCCACATGAGTTTGTGATAAGTTTAACTGTGAAATAAGTGAAGTGAAGATATTGTAAAGAGACATGGCTGCCTGAAATAATCATTGAAATATATTTATCGATAAACATTTGATACAAACTTAACCGCAAATATGACAATATTAAGAAATTATTAAAGATTAATGCCTGTTTCTATTAAAATTAATTAAACCTGAAGTTGAAAAATTAATTGAACCTTGAGTTTAAGTCTTTATCTGAACAGAGTTTAAACTAAGGTGACAAGACGTCCCGATTTTTCACCCTTTGCCTCGAATTTTTTCGAGTGTTATTTGGGACACCGATTTGTCATCATTTTCAATGATTGTCTAATAATTTTCGAATCTTTTAACTCCTCTCCCCCCCGTCCCCCGCTTCATATATTTATAAAGTGTTCCGAATTCAGAGCTGGGAAATTTGGTTATTTTATTTAAACTTGAGTTAAGATATAATCGACATTGGTAGAAACAAATATCACATACAGATTAGCATCCCAAGTAGCAGACTTACGTCCAAAATGACGCCCAAATCTGGTCAATTTATGACCAACAATGACCAAGGAATGATGATAAAAAATGTCGTGAAAATGTCATGAAAATGACATTCTAATGTCACAGATCAATGACGACATCTTAAGACAACTTAATGACGTTTTAATGACGTCTCTAAACGTCAATAATACGTCATTAAGACGTTGTACAGAAACGTCATTAAGACGTCTTAAAGATATCATTAGTCACTTGTTAATCGACCAGTTATGACCAGTTTTTGACGTCACTTTTACGTGAGTCTGCTACTTGGGATTCTTTAAGATTATTTTTTATATCGTGATATGTATAAAATAATAAGAAACGTCATCTAACGTGGGACATTTAAATCGATTTAAATGATTATCTGTCATTGAAATATTCGAATTTAATGTCAATTGTCCTCCAATCTGTTTAACTCAGCCTGCGCATGCGTCGCAAAATTTGCTTTCTGCTGTTCAGTTTGTTTTGTCAGTTTGTTCTCCAGTTCGGCAAAATTAATCGACTCTCATAGGATCGCTCTTCATGACCGCAAAAAGAGCGAATATGACGTTTGATTTATATACAGATTAAAGCATAACGTTTGCTTCTTAGCGAGGCTTAAATATTCCGTAGAAATTAGGTTAAGTTAGATTTAGCGAGGTTAGGATTGTCGTACTGTACTGTCAACGTCAAGGATTTCACCGGCGAGACAACATTTCACGAGTCCTCACACGGAAACATGTACTCTACGAAGACGCCGACCCTTCGAATCGACGAGGCCGACTTGAAGTGCAAAAACGGCTGCGGTTTCTACGGCAATGCGGAATGGGAAGGTTACTGCAGCAAATGTCATCGAGAACACCTTCAGAAACGACGTGCCCAAGCTGAGCGTGTGTCTCACGCGCAAACTTCGGACACGTAAGATTTTCTCGTCCTTGTGCGTCTTTCTTTCACATATATGCAGTGATTTCACATCATGTACTTGTGTTATGCTTTCAGAGATAATACCAATCGTCTGGTAGTTGCTGGTGGCCACAAATATGAGGAAAAGAAAGTACAGCATGAGAAGAAGTACAAATTGTTGAATCTTTCTTTCAGAAAACCTGTTGCAAAAGGTATATGATGCCACTTGCATCGTGACAGTGCAAATAACAATCTGTTGTTACCAGACATTTGTTTATCTCTTTGCCTTTGCTCATGTGTTTCAAGTTCAAGGATATCAGGAGTTGTATCATGAATTATTGAAAGATAATCCAGATCTTGAGAAAGTTAAGGCTGAGAATCGAGGTCTGTTGCTATACATAGCTAAAACTCCAGTGGAGAAGGATGTGAGGAAGTGTATACATTCGTTTGTAGTGGACATACTCCAGAATAAGGATGTGAAGAGGATAGAAGAACTATCGGAAATAACGCAAAACTTTTATCACGTGTTTGGAAAACGCCTGGAGAATAGCACCAAATATGCAGGTTCTAACTTATGTTAGGCTTGTATATGCTGGCAGGAAGTATTTGGACTTACCTGTTATCCTATTACAGACATACCACCAGACATCAAGGAAAAATTGTTGGATTATGTTGAAAGATATGCAATGACTCTGTTGTATAGAATTCTCTTTTGCCCTCCGTTCACAACCGATGAAGAAAAGGACTTGGCTATACAGAAAAGGTTTGCATCTCAATCTCGAAACGACTTGAGCTACTTTTGTTTGCAAAAAAAAAAGGAAGGCAATGTAGCGATTTATTTTCAACAGAATACGCCAATTGAACTGGGTCAGTGGCAAAAACTTGGAATGCAGAATCCACGAGACCAGCTCAGAAGTTAGGGAACTTGTTTACACGTCTATTACAGGTTCAATAATTAATATTGAATTCATTGAATAGTCTTGTAATCGACGTCGCACAGCACGATGACAGAACGTATGTCTTCCAGATCTTCTAAACATGGATTCCGCTAAGGCACCTCAAGAGAAATTAGCATGTGTTATTCACTGCTGTAGAAATATATTCCTGTTGTTGCAACAATCCGTCGATGGGCCGGCATCTGCCGATGAATTCCTACCGGCACTTATATTTATCGTTTTAAAAGCTAATCCTGCCCGTCTCAAGAGCAATATCAATTTTATCACGAGGTTTTGCAACGCCAGCAGATTGATGACTGGGGAGGGAGGATATTATTTCACGAATCTGGTATAATTTGTGGAATACGACTCTTGTGGCTTTTAGATTACAGTACAAATTTCATTTGAATTATTCTGAACGGCTACTTATAACATTGCAGTGTTGCGCGGTATCGTTCATCGAAAATCTAACCGCAGAGTCCTTGAACATGGCCGAGAAAGACTTCAACGCATATATGTCGGGTGAATGCGTGCCAGCTAATACATGGCAGTCAGCTCTTATGATATGTGAGGTAAGATTTTAGATATTGTTTTCGCAGTTAAGATTAGATTATCTTATCGTTTATATGAATTCACAATTCGTTTACGTTTCGACTATCAGAGTCTTCACTTCATGTGCGAGGATATAACTCTGCTGGACGATTTGCAAGCGAAAAATAACGACATCGTAAAGCAAGCGGAAGAATTAAAAGACAAAATGGTAGATTTCAACGAAAAAATCAAGCAGGATGTAAACAAGGTGATTGAAAGGACGCCATTATTGATAACTCACAGTCAAAGAGTACCTACTAATCTAGATAGCGAGGACGTCGAGAGTTATCAGCTACCACCGCCAATTATTCCACAGGTAAGAAAAAGAGAGAGAAAGATTAAGATTAATTTGTTATACTAATCGCGCTTTGTCAGACATTAATTTGTATTATTCGAACAGATATACCCGCAGTCCATTGGCGAGAACGTGGACGGCGGCGTAATGGCAGACCTGTCGAGCGATTTAATGAGAACATCGTTGGTGGAAGATTCCGTGACGCCGTCGCCGACGTTCGATTTCACATCCTTCATTTGCGACAATCTGGAATTTAGCAGAGGAGGTGAGGATGACACTAGTCTTATCAGTTTAGATACTCAGTCGGACCTCGCAACCGGTGAGACCAGCCAGAGCTTCAAGAAACACACCACGGACAGTTTAATGGATGAGTGTCCGACGCCCGAAGCGAATCTGCCGCCCGCTCTAAAGCCGATCACCTCCGAAGATTATCACGGCTTCACTATCCAGGGATCACACATTCCGACGATTCCGTGTAATACGGGCGATTCGTCGAAAACTTCGACGGACTTAGATACGGATAGCTATTCCAATTATTTCCAGAATATGTAGTGTTTCAATTAGGAAAACGCAACTCGGATATCGCTCGTGTTGGAAGCATTTTGTGAATGATTTCAATCGTGGAAGCGGCTCGATTAGAACGAAGAAATGTTTGGTTGCGCATCAGTCTTCTGCCATATTTTTATTCATTTGTCCGTATGTAAGAAGTTTCTTGTAGATATGCGAAGCGAAATAACGAACATGATGTCTTAGTATAGGCGCTTCTTCTGCCGATGGAATAAAGGAACGCGAATTGACGCTCTGCAGAGTCGAGTTTCTTTTCACTTGATAGCTGAATTCAATATCTTCGTGATGGAAAAAAAAGATAATAAAAACAATCGTTAACGAAAGTTGCTATTAAATATATTTTAATATAGAACATATATCAAATTTCAGTAATTACATATTATTATTGTAGGCATACCTCCAAGTGAGGATTTATTTCCCGAATTTTGGTCGTATTGATTTCTGCGCACACTGGATTATCCCTCAAGTCCAACCTCTTCAATTTTTCATGTCGCTTTACAAAGTTCAATATCTCCTCCATACTCATTAATTTGTTGTTTCTTAGGGACAGAAATTCGAGACTGTGCATAGTAGGGAAATGTTTCAACGACGTTATGTCATTGCTAGACAGAGATAGTTTCGTGCATCGTTGTAACGTGGAAAACTGATACAAACAATCTTTCAAATGATTCGCGCCAAGATTCACCTCCTCGAAGAGGCTGAAGTAGTGATTATTGTGTAAACTTGTCAAGCCTAATCCAGATAAATCGATCTTTGATTGTATTTCCGAGCTCTCCTCCTGCTTCCATATTTCGCTCAATTTGTACTCCACCAAAAGTCTGCTTCCTAAAATGACAGGCGTTATTTTCTTCTTTCATAATTTGCGCGTTAAAAACTTGATAAACGGAGTCGATGGTAAAAAATGATTGTATTTCTTTTTAGAGATGAATACAACCACCATTGTACTTACGCAAATCCTTGTAATAATTAGAGCGAAAAGAGTCTACTTTCGACAGCATCATTAGGTTTTTCAAGATATTAGTGTAAAACTTGGAAAGATCGATCTTCTTCATCAGGAGAATTTCGGTCAGCAAAGCCCATTTGTTATCCGGCTCCATTTCGGACAGTTGGTTGTAGCTTTTTAACTGTTCGTCCAATTGCTTATCGTTGCTATTTTGCTTGTATAGGCTGATATTATCTTTGTAAATCCAGGCGCTCTCCGATTCCGAGTAACACAGTCGATACTTTGTTTCTTGCAATTCTATCGAAACTTTTTTAACACGATTTGGATCCGTCAATGGACTGTCGAGTTTGGCAATTTGTAATTTAGCAAATTTCTCATCCGGATACGATTGCCATTGCACATCGACGTTCTTACTGTTTACACGTAGTGATAGCGAAATTGGTTTAATCAGCATATTGTTGTCGAGAATAACGATAGCGATGTCCTTTTTAATATAAGCACGCCACAGCCGACAGATAGTCACATGTTTATCCAAAAGCCATCTTTGGTAGAACCATGCGCTAGTGTCATTAGGATCAGTAAACGTCGCATTTATGACCAAATCGAGCTCTGTGCGATATCGTTTGTTATTTCACGAAATGTATAACGAAGATACTGGAAGTAATTTGCAAAAGAACCTACCCTCTCTGTACTTTTCATCTTCGATTGGTATTTCTTCCGACGCAGTGCCAAACATTTTGTATAATATTCGACTTCTGTAATGCCAAGATGAGTAGTTCGATATATTGTTTAGTATTTTCGTGTTGGAGAACTCGAGCTCCTTGTTATTAGGGATTTCAGCTTTCTGCACAATGAACTCTCTGTAATCCCAGCAGTGAACTAGAAAAATATGTCTTCAGATACGTTAGTTTATTGGAAGTGCGAATTTTGCAAAAGCTATATTCTTAGTATGTAGTATAAGTCGTGTACGCACAGTAACGAAGGATTTTGTATACTAACAGTTTCTTTCATCTAAATTTAGACATTTTGCACACAGTGCTAATTCTTTTTTCCAATCGGGTTCAAACATCTGTTCTATTACCCAATGTCTTTGGTGCCACACACTGTATGACTTAGGATTTGCCCTGAGACAGCTCTCAGTTAAGCTCATCTCATCTTCGAGCATTTGCTTGTACTCCTCTTCGTCCCTGCATTTTCACTGTTATTTTAATATTTCTTCACTATATTTATCAAGTGTATCATTGAAATATTACCATTTGTTTTTTTTAAAAGCTTCACGGCGAATATTCCACAACGTGTAAATATCTGGATTACTCAAAAGCATATGTTTGGTAATCGACAGCAATTCATCATCCCACAGTTCATCTTTCCTCTGTAATGGGAGTGATACATAGATAAGTGTATAAATTATACATGAGGATTGTCATGTTATATATGCAAAAGAGAAAAATGTCTTACCTTTTGAAATACTATGGAAATGTTAGCTTTGTATTGAACAACTTTAGCAGCCTTTTCCTTCCTCAGTATTTCTTCTTGCTCCGCTGTAGTACGTACCTTCACTCGACCATGCTAAAAGAATATGTGCACACATAATCAGGAATAGACGTTTATCAATACGATAAAATCCATTAATAATATCCATTAATTATCCATTAATAATTATCCATTAATAATTACACAATAACACGTTGACACACATCACAATATCTAATAAACCCAATTACTTACGTTTGTAGCATATAATAAAATAAAGCAATAATTATCACAAGTAAACAATTGAGTAATCAATGAAATATAATATAATTTAAAGTTTTAATCACTTTACCATCGTGAATATTCTCTATCTCTCTTTCTCTCTACTTCAGAGTAATGATGAGTTGCTCAAATCGCGTTACATACACAGCAGTCTATAGTCACTAGACTTTATAGAGTCGCGACTAGCAGTGACTTTTAAGCATCATGTTTTTCTAGGTTTTTCTATATGCAATTCTCAATAATTCTCGAATGCAATTGGTCAATCGGCTCACCGTTTAAAGTGCCACTGTTTGTTTTTTTCATGCGTTATAAATTTCAGTACTACCTGCGTTAGAATTAAATGGGCGTATATTTAATTACTACAATCGTTCACTGAGCACTCAGTGAGCTTTGGAATTTAATTATTTTTTTCGTTCGTGACAGTTAACATATATGCATGCATGATCAGCTGATCGACTCGGGCGTCCTCTGGCACATCAGCTGATCAGCCCAGTTCGTCCTTGCCGTCATTCAAGATGGCGTCACGCACGATAGCAGCCGCGACGATACGAGCCGTGAAAGGAAGGAAAATTCTCGCAACTCGTGCTGCACTCACTTTGGTGAGCACGTTGTTTAATTAGCATTATTATTCTTTGCTTATATACGTTTCTTTTAAACCATCTGTTCGTTATTCAATTCATCTTGCGTGTCGTATTTTTCATGTCGGAAACATTCGTGTATGAAAGGGGGGATGAAGATTTATGCAATATACCGCCAAACGGATTACATTTGATAATTGTTAAGTTTCGAAACAATGGATCTCACTGTCTTGACTTTTGTTTATCATGCATTTACGCATTTATGTTATTTCGTAATGTTGCAACACTATATCCAGGTTTTATAATCTCACTTTTCAAGGATACATTTTCATGTAAATACATGAAATGAAGAAACGTGTTTTATATTTTAGACACCCAACGCCGTCAACAAAATTAAAGAGATTTTGAAAGACAAGAGTGAATACGTAAGTATGCATCTACGTAATGATATCTGAAAACTAAGCATGCGCATTTGTAACTGATTTGAGAAATATAAATATTAATATATATATATATATATATCAATATTTTTGAAGATGCTTGTATGATAAGTTTCCTGAACTAATGCATTTGTTGGGTTTTAATATATTAAAATTAAAATAAGCATATGCTTGATTCATAGATCGGCCTGAAGGTTGGAGTACGGCAACGTGGATGCAATGGTTTGAGTTATACCTTGGACTATGCGACAGAGAAGTCCAAACTTGATGAGGAAGTAGTTCAAGACGGCGTACACATATTTATCGACAGGAAGGCACAGCTGTCACTCCTTGGGACAGAAATGGATTACGTAGAGGATAAATTGAGTTCTGAATTTGTTTTCAATAATCCCAACATTAAAGGGACATGTGGATGTGGCGAGAGTTTTTCAGTGTAGTGAAATTTAGTCCATTCACTATAGTTGATATCTAATTGATATGTACCCTATTAAATTAAATTAAGGTATTTTTGATGCTTTGTGATATGAGACAGCACATGTACACATATAGAGTGTCTTTTCTCATAGTGAAAGAACTGATTTGATTGGAAGTGTAACGTATAGATAGATGTATCTAGCAAACTTTACAAGTTACTTGTCTGCAGATTTTGTAAATATCAAACACCCCTCATATGCATATTTTTCTACACATGTGTCTTGTATGTATACACAACTAATGCGTATGATACATTAATTATAGTATAATTAATTTATTTTTAACTTTTAGAGATCTTGTTGATTAACCTTTCCATAGTCTGTTACATCTTTTTTGCCACGTTTAATACTTATCGTATGACTCTTTGAAAGTACAAAATCATGTAGAGACTGCAAAATAGATTTTAAGATGTAAAAATTATTTCCTGTTTGTTTCTCATTTCGAAAATATCTACTTGATCAACTGTTTATTGCGGACGATTCTACTTCGTTTCAAGTCACTTTCATCATTGTTCGTCAATATATATATATGTGTGTGTGTGTGTGTATATTGTGTGTGTGTGTGTAGTTTGACGAATCGATATATTCATCGTCTTAAGAAAGATTTTTAAACTGCATTAGCAGTTGGTTACAAATTTATTCGGATATCATATTTATAATATTCCCAGAATCTCTCGATATAACGTCTTGACGTAATAACATCGCGAACGCAACAGGCGCGTATCTCGAGATGAATATCGAAATAGCATTTCGGTTTTTTTTCGAAATGTCTACGATTCCCTCATTTTTACTAACGTTATGCGTTAACCGTTCGCGCTTATCTCGGAATTCCTTGCAACATAATATGCGGTGTCGTGAAAATGTTCGTAGTTCGTAGTTCGTTCACACGTTACTCGCTTCTTATTCATGAAGTTTCCAAACGCGTGGCTCGCGCGTTGACGAAATCCGCGTGTTATTTCAAATATCTCGCCCCGGCCACGGCTGCATACGAATGTGCATATAAAGTCTGACAAGAGTGGCGAGGATATTACAACCGTAAAAGAGTGGACGTGTTTTCGTGGCTACGGCCAATCTTTTATATTTATGGAAAGCGACATGCTAATCTACGGCGAGAGGTGCTGGTTGTGTCGTAGATAGAAAGTGATACATGACCAATTGATAGCGAACGCGTTAACGGCATTCCAATCTCGTGGAATCTCTTGCAGAGAAGCGCAAAGGCGGCGGCGGCGGCGGCGCCGTCTCCGATGTCCGCCTTCGTGTACATATTTAGATTTGATTTTGTTCTTCTCGCGGACGAGGACGGGTCGACTCATTCCGGGTGTGGGGACACACGGATCATCTTGTCATGGTCATGAGGCCTGCGTCCCTCCGCTCTCTCAGCCCCCGCCGTCTTTCTCTGAGGAGGTATTTACCGTCGATACCGTGCTTGCGAAATCGCGATTTTCACGATGATTATGCTATTATCGCGACCGACACTGCCGTCGCCCGACTTACCTCACTCTCTCGGGAGATATTTGAGCTTGAAACTGAAGAAAACCTACTTCACCTCAATAGTTAAATCAAGTTTGATTCTGATAACTTCGCGTTTTCTTTCGTGGGCGAATTAATAGGATTGATTTGGGACCAATTTTCCCTGATAATTTTCCCGGAAATAACCGAAAGATGCGATTTATATAGAAATACACCTAGGGAATATTGCAGTTTCTTTTCATATGAAATTCTTCTTATGTTTCTTAGTAGTGGAGAAATAGATTGTCAGTAGAGTTTATTATGCTAATAGCAACGTGGTACATTTTTTAACAGCAGACTTTAGTTTCTGAATATAAATAAGCTTATATAAAACGGGAGAATAATAAACTAAGACAGTACGTTTGTTTTTCGGTTATATTATATAATAATTTTTATTATACAACCTTCTTCACATACACATACACATACACAGAGAGGAAAAGTTTCTACAGAATTTCTTTCTAATTGAGAAACAGATCGATATTTTGCTGTGATTAACTATACTTTCATTTCACATGTTACTCGTATTTTAAGAACCGAAATGTGTTATTAAAAAATTTGCTGTAGAGCATGTTCACGATGTTCCTTAGCAAGACAGATCTTGCTATCAGTTTATTCCTGCGCTATGTAGAAACATAGTAAAAATGAAATGAATTTATATACATGAGATTTATATATATGAGAAACTATAATATTCTTTCCGTATAGAGACACAAAGTTATTCTGATTAATTTGTGATAATTGGCGAAATTGTTTGTGGATTCGTCTAATAGCCCAAACCTGATGTCATTTTACAAATCATCATTTCAGAGAAATTAGCATGAATCGGTAGATTTAGTCACTGTTGTCAATTTCGCAGAGATGCATATGTGGGTCAATGTCACATCTATTTCTCTAGGAAGAGATTCTTGGCGTTATTATCGAATCGTCACCTGTGTCGTCATTGTATATATATATCACATATTGAGTCAGTCATTATATTCACTTATTATACTCGCGATCGTGTTACATTGTGACGATGACGGCCGGCCTCCGAGGATTTTCGCGGAGTATCTGGCGGCGCATTTGCGAAGCGCGCTTTCAGAAGACAGCCAGGTGCGCCAGATACGCGCGAATACAGGGTATTCGACGCATTTTCGGCGCACGTGGCGCGATGTCCCTCGGCGAGAAGTGAAACGACCTTTTTCCTTAACGAGCATGTCGACGTATGAATAATTTTTACGTTGCGATTGATCACACAACGCACACATACATACACACACAAAAAAGAAAGTGTTTCTTGATGAAGCGCGTCTCTGGAGAATCCCTATAGATAACAGATTCGCGCGTCTCCCGACGAATTTCACGCGACCATGACAGAAGGTGATTTGCAAGGCGTGTAATTACTGCGATAGAAAAAAGCAAGAGAGAGAGAGAGAGAGAGAGAGAGAGAGAGAGAGAGAGAGAGAGAGAAACAAGATGAAGAAAAGTATTATATCCAATGTAATTTTTGACAAGCACAACAGGAAGACACGTCTCGGAGTTGCTACAACGGCCACCGTCAAGTGGCACCGACACTATCAAGCGATTACCCTGTAGAGACGCAATCAGGATACGTGGGGTTAACATTGGATGGTGTGCGTGTACGGTCTCGTCCCTCGCTCGAGAGCGAACGAGAGTGTCAGGAATAAAATTGGCGACGAGGCATCACCGGCAACGGGCAACGCCGAGAGGAGTCAATGTAATATGTTGACCAGCATAGGATATCGAAGGACGGCGCACGGATCCGCGGACGGGCGCACCGGACCGCCAGGTAGGGGGGTACCGGGCAGAGATCCGGAGGATGGTATAAGAGAAGAAGGGATACGAAACCAGCGCCAGTTATATTGACTTTCTTTTAAGCGACACGCGCGTTACACACGTACATACTTCGCGGGAGGATACATATTAAGTAAGTACACGCAGCAAACTTTATATCCGTTAAGTACTCGCGCGCGCTCCCGCAAGTACTCTTGTCGCGCGCGCGCGCGCGCGCGTCTTCGCGACCTGCAACTTCCGCGAGGTACACTGGGAAAAGACCGTTTAGTGTTAGGCGACTGCAATTGCATGTTGTGAATCCGTTTCATTCGCCGTACCTTCCATTGCGCCAGGCAAACCCTGACTTTCGTGGCAAACACTACTAATTTATCCCATACAGCACAAATGTCCAAAATACGTTTCCAAAAAAAAAGAGATATCCCAGAGGCGATCTCTGGGACATTTCTAGAATATATTTTGGATATTTGCGCTGCATGGGATGTTGCCGATAATAACCCCCAGACAGCACAATCTACTAAAAGACGTCTTGAAGACGTCCAAAAGACATCTGAGAGAAACAGGACGTCTTCAAGACGTCTTTTAGTCATTTCTGCTGGGAATTTATATGTCCATATGGGTCTTTCGCTTTTCGTTTGTTGGAACAACAATGAGATATGGACGGAAATATACTATAATTTACAGTAAGATTAACTAATTCTCAGTATACTGCGCGACAGTCTGTGCGCGAGCGAATCGAGTGCCACAAAATCGAAACCGACATCGTGCTTTCAATGATCTTTATCCATGTACATGGTACACAGAACCGGGTCGTTCTCCGGTAAACGGGATTCAGACAGCATAATCTACTAAAAGATATCTTAAAAACGTCCAAAAAACATTCCTGTTCCTTTGGAGATATCATTTAGATATCTTTAAGATATCTTTTAGTCACCTGTGCTTGTCTGGAAATTTATATACGTATGTAGCTACTCCACCTTTGTTAGAACAACAAAGAGATGTGGGTATATGTATAGCGTCAGAAATGTATAATTTATGATGAAATTAACCGTTCCTCGATATACCACGCGACTGTCTGTGCGCGAGCGATCGAGCACTTGAGGATTCGAGTGCCGCAAAGTCGACATTGTGCTTTAGACTACGTACTTTCGATGATCCTTATCCGTGTACGTAGACACAGGTTGTTTTCCGGTAAACGGGATTCAGACAGCGTAATCTACTAAAAGACACCCTAAAAATGTTCAAAAGACGTCATGTTCATTTGAGACGTCACTTGGACGTCTCTAAGATATCTTTTAGTAATTTATCTGGGGAAGATCTCTTTTCTTTGTTTCGTTTCTGGTCTTTGTTTTGAATTCTCGCGAATAAGTCGTCGTGCCTTTCGTGCCCGTCATTGAAATATGAGATTACCAAGACTTTTGAAAACGTTCGTGTAATTAATTCCAGCGGAATTTGCGTTTACGACCTGCGACTGCTGCATATTTGCAGTTGTTTGCTTGTTTATGTGGCGCTTTTACGATTTTTTCCCCGCGGGGATTTGATTTCGGCTTGAATCTTATGCATAATTTTATGACTTTTAATTGATTTGTTTAGCTGAAATGTCACTTAGCGGAAATTTTAGTTCGATCTTGGCTGTCGTGATATTAAACGTCAAGTTGACGAATCGTCGATGATCTTTGAACGATTGCGGTGCTTTCAAATTTTGTGCAAAATCGCACGAACGATGGAAGGCGAACGCTAACTCGGTAGATTTAGGACCGATTTCTCGATTTTTAGTAGCTTAAACTTAAATTTCAGTTCAAACATATTGTTAGAACGAAGTTTGTGTGTGCGCGAAATCAGGTCCAAGTTTAAACTACTATTGAAAAATTAACTTGTAACGTTTTCTTTTGACTAGCGTATGTGGAGAAAATATTGCAGTCAAAATTACGTTAAGATTATATTTTATTTTGCAATATTTTTTGTAAAGTTGAATTATACTGATATTATAATATAAATTGCCATAGAAATAGTAAATCAGATCTACACTGAGAAAGAAATACTTGGAAACGTATTTGTGTGGGATAAAAGTTTATTTCACAGAAATAAATTTTTATACCACAAATAAATTGTCAAGTT